AGGTTACCAGAGACATCAACAAACTCAAATCCAGCTTGTTTTCAAATTAAACCTTCGAATCGCAACAATTTATAGAGATTTTATCTAACTCCTGTCTCCTGATTTATTTCTATTTTTGCAGCCAGTGCACAGAGAGCATCGTGTCAGAAAGCTATTATTGTCAGTCAAAATAAACCAGACCATTTATGCCAGGGTGTACCTGTTTGCATGTGTGAACAAAGGTTTTCAGAAAGCAATCTCTTGGGTCTCTGTATAAGGGGAAGGCTAACATAAAATGAGTAATAATAACAATACAACAAAAAACAGCATAAAAATACCTTCCACCTGTGGTTGACCACAAATACAAAGCCTCTCTGTGTACAGGACCTTGTGGCAGTGGGCCTCACCTGGAAAGGCAGCCCAATAAAGACACAAATTTGGAGAACGCTGGCATAGGCAATACTGGGCTAGATGGACTAATGGTCCGGCTCAGGAGAAAGCAGCTTCCTGTGTTCCTATGATGCATCTAGACCACCACCGCCCTTCCGAGGTCCACATCCCATTGCCACCAGTTCTCTTACCAAAAGACAGCAGGAGGAACAGAAAGATGCGCAGCGATTTGGCGAGTTCCATAGCAGCAGATCTGCGTGGCGAAGTGTCTGTGCCTACCTTCGAAAGTAGAGAACAAGTTCTGTGATTAAGAAAATGTGATACAAGTTTTTTTGGGTTTTTTTGGCTCAGCACCTCAACTCCTTTGTTTTATCTACACCCCGAGGTCACAGCCCAGGTGTCCAGTGGGTGCCACATTCTCAGCAGTCCACACCTGGCTCAACTGGGCAGCTTGACAGAGAGAGAGAGAGAGAGAGAGAATAAGCATAAGCCCTGGACTTAATCTGAACAGAAGCAGAGCCAGCACTTTCCTCCTAGAATGGCAAAACAGGATGTCGTCTCATGGCAACCTCAAAGATGGGGCACTGATTTCACTAAGATAACAAAGTACATCTTAACTGATTTAATATTGTATTTGCAACCCACCCGGGGACCTTGTGGTGAAATCACCACCAACAAAAGGTCAGTGTTTCCAGTGAACTCCGGTTCAGCCTCCAACGTTGGAGGAACATGGAGCAGGCCAGAGCAAGGCCTCCGATGATAACCTCAGCCTGCAGGGAACTTTGTGTGGGCACAGGTGCTCCATGCTTGTCCCCACAGTACAGGGGCACATCAGTATAAACATATTTGTGAAAGGAGCTAGGCCACAGGGAGCAGCAGGGAGCATCTGCGTTGGGCAGGGAGGTGGAATCACTGCAATGACTATGATCAATGCAAGGAGGTCCACCCAGAGGGGACTCTGGTAAGCAATAACAAGAATGAGAGTTATTGAAAGGGTCAGGAATCCGGGTGTAAACATGCCCTTATTATGTCAGACAAGGCTTCTGTCTATAGAAGAAAGCCAATATCTTCCACCTTGCTCACTGTAGACCCACTCTGGGGCTCAGAATAGAGCGGCTGTGGTGCTGGACCACATTGAACTTGCTCTCTCAGATCCTCTGACTGTGCCCTTATGTTGTCCTTGATCCTTATCACACTGCTTTTCCCCACTGCTGTGGCTATGAGAGAGGAAACCCTGTGTACTCCTAAGAAAAGCTACACGGAAGGCTACTCTAGAGACGGGGCCCATATTATTGGTGGTCTTTTATCCCAGAATATTTTAAGCAGTGAACAAGAACAATTCCGAAGTGCTCCACAGCCTTTCTCCTCTGCAACAGTCAGTCAGTAAGTATTTAAAACTGTTTCAGGAAACCAGAATGTATTGTCTGAATTTATCAATCTCTGTGTAGCCAGACTCAGGTCTATGATGTTATCGCAGATGAGATAAGAAGTGGTTTCTCGAGCAATCAGTACATACAAGTGAATGAATGAAGCGAGGCCTAAGTGCATAGGATATATTTCTATCATGTAGGTGTGAAAGAATTGAAAAACTTTACAAAAGCAAGTCTATGGCTAGCGATCAATAGAATGAACAATTTTATGTGACTTCACAACACTGCAATGTAGACACAGTGTGAAATATCACATAAATATATTCTAAAATGTCTAACTATGTTGACTGAGTATGTCTTTCAAATGCTAACTGAACCACAGCAATAAAATACAAAGTTATTGTTGCTCAAAACTTTGAAATCCAAAAGGTGAAGATTGTTCACAACAGACATATTTCAGAAAGCATGCCATACGTGTTTCAACCTATAAAGTCTTCTTCAGTGGCATATAGTTGAAGGACATTTCTTTATGTGTGGGGTCAGAGAGTCAATACACAAATCCCTAATATTTCAAATTTACTAAAATACAGGGTGAGTCTTTTAAAGAGGCCCTGTGGAACATGTGTACTCTGTATCCACGGGGCCTCTTGTAAAGGTCTCACCCTGTATATTATGCTGCTAGAGATTCAGTGTCTGTTTGTTTTTAATGGTCTAAAGTTTTCTGCAAGCAGCAATGCCCAGCTTCTGTAGAGAATATTTTTTCCAGGTTATTTACCGTACTTTTTTTACAATTTACTTTTTAAAACACGAATTTCCAGGGCTGTTCACAATAGGTTCACTGTCCCAATGCAGAAAACTCAAGAAGAACTACCAGCACACCCTGGCCTTTGTGTTTGCAATGGAAGAGCTCAACAATGACTCTCATCTCTTTCCCAATATCTCCTTGGGATTCCAGCTCTATGAGGATAGTCACGACATGAGAAAGAACCATGAGGCCACCGTTAGCATTTTATCTGAGAGGAACTGGACTCCTTCCGTGCTCCCCCTGCCTCCCAGCGCATATGATCTTTATTACTCCTACGGGAGGCCATCTTACGACAGCCTGGTCAGCAAAAGCCCAAAGGATAAAACCATCCCCAACTATCATTGCCATGGGCAGATCAAGCTGGCAGCCGTCATTGGGGCTCTGACATCCAAGTCGACCACTGAGATGCGCAACATGTTGCAGAGCTCCAAGGTACCTCAGGTGAGTTTGGCCCTGTGCTCTGTTGCTGTACCTGAAACCCTCTCTGACTTCAAAATATTGGAGCAAGCAAATAGGACATGTGTGTCCAAATGACATAATGTAAATTAAGCAAATTGGCTGGAGTTTGTTTTGCATAATTAAAGATGCAATCCTATACTATAAAGAAGTGGTATATAAATGGGAAGGAAGGAAGGAAGGAAGGAAGGAAAGAAAGAAAGAAAGAAAGAAAGAAAGAAAGAAAGAAAGAAAGAAAGAAGGATGACAGACAGACTTGGGCTACATCCACCTGAGGGTCTATAGGATTTAGCAAAAACCTCACTACACTGGCGGAATGCAAGACATGCAGCCAGTGTTAGATTCACTAGTAGAACACCAGTGTTACACTGCTGGAGAACCAGGTTTAGATTTTACCCCAGCTAATGTTTGACACTATACCAGAAAGATATGGATGTCTCGTACACCCCAGGTAGTGTGGTTGCTGACCTTGAGCCAGACATCCTGGAAAGTGAAGTCAAATGGGCCTTAGAAAGCACTGCAAATAACAAGGCCAGTGGAAGTGATGGTATTCCAGCTGAACTATTTAAAATTTTAAAAGATGATGCTGTTAAGGTGCTACACTCAATATGCCAGCAAATTTGGAAAACTCAGCAGTGGCCAGAAGATTGGAGAAGATCAGTCTACATCCCAGTCCCAAAGAAGGGCAGTGCCAAAGAATGCTCCAACTACCGCACAATTGCACTCATTTCACACGCTAGCAAGGTTATGCTTAAAATTCTACAAGGAAGGCTCAAGCAGTATGTGGATCGAGAACTCCCAGAAGTGCAAGCTGGATTTAGAAGAGGCAGAGGAACCAAAGACCAAATTGCAAACATGCGCTGGATTATGGAGAAAGCTAGAGAGTTCCAGAAAGACATCTACTTCTGCTTCATTGACTATGCAAAAGCCTTTGACTGTGTCGACCACAGCAAACTATGGCAAGTTCTTAAAGAAATGGGAGTGCCTGATCACCTCATCTGTCTCCTGAGAAATCTCTATGTGGGACAAGAAGCTACAGTTAGAACTGGATATGGAACAACTGATTGGTTCAAAATTGGGAAAGGAGTACGGCAAGGCTGTATTTTGTCTCCCTGCTTATTTAATTTATATGCAGAATACATCATGCGAAAGGCTGGGCTGGATGAATCCCAAGCTGGAATTAAGATTGCCGGAAGAAATATCAACAACCTCAGATATGCAGATGACACAACCTTGATGGCAGAAAGTGAGGAGGAATTAAAGAACCTTTTAATGAGGGTGAAAGAGGAGGGCGCAAAATATGGTCTGAAGCTCAACATCAAAAAAACGAAGATCATGGCCACTGGTCCCATCACCTCCTAGCAAATAGAAGGGGAAGAAATGGAGGCAGTGAGAGATTTTACTTTCTTGGGCTCCATGATCACTGCAGATGGTGACAGCAGCCACGAAATTAAAAGACGCCTGCTTCTTGGGAGAAGGGCAATGACAGGCCTGGACAGCATCTTGAGAAGTAGAGACGTCACCTTGCCAACAAAGGTCCGTATAGTTAAAGCCATGGTTTTCCCAGTAGTGATGTATGGAAGTGAGAGCTGGACCATAAAGAAGGCTGATCGCCGAAGAATTGATGCTTTTGAATTATGGTGCTGGAGAAGACTCTTGAGAGTCCCATGGACTGCAAGAAGATCAAACGCATCCATTCTTAAGGAAATCAGCCCTGAGTGCTCACTGGAAGGACAGATCGTGAAGCTGAGGCTCCAGTACTTTGGCCACCTCATGAGAAGAGAAGACTCCCTGGAGAAGACACTGATGCTGGGAAAGATGGAGGGCACAAGGAGAAGGGGGCGACAGAGGATGAGATGGTTGGATAGTGTTTTCGAGGTTACCAGCATGAGTTTGACCAAACTGCGAGAGGTAGTGGAGGACAGAGGTGCCTGGCGTGCTCTGGTCCATGGGGTCACGAAGAGTCGGACACGACTAAACGACTAAACAACAACAACGTTTGACACTATTCCAGTTTGACCACAAAATGGTTGGAAGGTTCTATTCCTACTCAAAAACAATATAAACCAGTAACAAATACCCCCCCTTTTTCGCACAGATCAGTTATGGCTCATCTGATCCCATCCTGAGTGACAAGGTCCAGTTTCCTTTTCTGTATCGGACAGTCCCCAGTGACATGACTCAGTTCACCGGGATCATCAGGCTGATCCTTTACTTCCGCTGGACGTGGATTGGAGTAGTTTTTACAGGTGACGATAACAGTGAGAAGTTCCTCCAGGTCTTGGAAGGTGAAATGCAGAAAAATGGAGTTTGCACTGAATTCATCTTAAAGATGTACAACAGGAAGAGCCTGGCTATGAAAACCATTCATAAGATGGAAGGTGCCCTCACAAAGTCCTCGGTCAATGTAACTGTGTTTTACGGCAGCACCAGTCACTTCTTTCAGTTACAACTTCTCAGCCAAAATCTCCGAACGAGAGGCAAGATCTGGATCATCACAGCCCAGTGGGATTTTACTGCAGGTTCCCGCCTATACAACCCAGACTCAGACCCATTCCAGGACGCTTTGTCCTTTGCAGTTCACAAGGCGGAAATCCCACAATTTCGAGACTTCCTTCAGTCCGTGAACCCTAAAAAATATCCAAACGATGTTTTCATGAAGTATTTCTGGGGTTCTGCCTTTGACTGTGTGATGCCTCCTCCCTACTCAGTCCCAAGGTATGGGAAAAGAAAATGCACTGAAAGGGAACGACTGGACAGCCTTCCTGTTTCAGTTTTTGATATCAACACCGTGTGGCAGAGCTATAGCATTTACAATGCGGTCTATGCAGTAGCCCATGCACTGATGGAAATGAGATATCATTATACTGGAGGAGGAGGGAGGAGGAGAAAAGGCCTTCTACCCCCATGGCAGGTATTATGACACAAATAATGTATCTGAGACAGAGGAGAGTTTTCAACAATGCCAAAGATGGTAGCCACTCTGAGGAGACGTCTTTAAATGAGACCAAGAGGGACTTCATTGGCTCTCCAGATCACCTGATTCCTCAGGGCTATTAGCTGCAATAGACCCTGAATAAATTATAATATTCATTCAATGCATTAGCAAAGGCACCATACGGTTTTAAATATATCCTGGATAATATGTATAGAGGAAATCAGAGCATTGTTCCGCAAGTGCAGTTTGAAACACAGCAGCGGGAGATGCCCTCTCTGGCTTTCAAGCCACTAACACAAACATGCACCAGAGTCACATTTTACAATATTCATATTAATTTAAACATGATGAATCAAGTTGCTAAATGAATGTACCCTTATCGTGTTTTATGACTCCCCTGATATTGTTTGTGACCTGGAACTGGTCTGTGACCAAAATTAATAAATTCATTCATTCACTAGCTAAATGTGGGACAGTCAGTTTATTTAAGTAAGCTCCTCTATCAGTTAGGGACGCGGGTGGCGCTGTGGGTAAAACCTCAGCGCCTAGGACTTGCCGATCGCATGGTCGGTGGTTCGAATCCCCGCGGCGGGGTGCGCTCCCGTTGCTCGGTCCCAGCGCCTGCCAACCTAGCAGTTTGAAAGCACCCCCGGGTGCAAGTAGATAAATAGGGACCGCTTACCAGCGGGAAGGTAAACGGCGTTTCTGTGTGCTGCGCTGGCTCGCCAGATGCAGCTTGTCACGCTGGCCCCGTGACCCGGAAGTGTCTGCGGACAGTGCTGGCTCCCAGCCTCTAGAGTGAGATGAGCGCACAACCCTAGAGTCTGTCAAGACTGGCCCGTACGGGCAGGGGTACCTTTACCTTTACCTCTATCAGTTGGCAGGCATAATGATTAAATCATACTTTAATGAAGAGAGATTTCTCCCTCCCTTGCAATCTCTGCCCTCAGCTCCACACATTTCTGAAAAAGGTCCGATTCAATAACAGTGCTGGAGAGGAAGTTTATTTTGATGAGAATGGAGACTCCACAGCTACTTATGATATTTTAAATTGGATCGTGCTCCCTAACAGCTCCCTGGTTAGTGTGAAAGTTGGAGGAGTGAAGCACCATGGCCAAGACTTCTTCTTTGACGATGCTAAGGTTGTCTGGAAGGAACGATTAGGGCAGGTGAGACTCAAGAAAGACTTTGTTCTGGGTGCTCCACCCTAGTGAGGTAAAGTAGATGGTTTATGGGGCTGGATCAAGGCCCCATATGTGTTATAGATTTAAAGCAGTACATTCTACTTCAGACAGTTATGGTTTCCCTCAAATAATCATGAGAACTGTAGTTTGCTAAGGGTCCTGTGAGTTCTTGGGAGATCCCTATTACCTTCACACAACTCAGAGTGGTTAATAATAATTATATAATTTATATCCTGCCCATCTGGCTGTGTTTCCCCAGCAACTCTTGGCAGCTTACAATATACCATATTTTTCGCCCTATAGGACGCACTTTTTCCCCTCCAAAATTGAAGGGGAAATGTGTGTGCGTCCTATGGGGCGAATGCAGGCTTTCGCTGAAGTCTGGAGAGCGAGAGGCGTCGGTGCGCACCGACCCCTCTCACTCTCCAGGCTTCAGGAAGCTATCCGCAAGCCTTGTGAGCCCGGGGGGAGTTCCCCTGGGCGCGCAAGGCTTGCGGGCCGCAGCCTGCAGCCCAGAGCACGGGGCACCCTCCGGAGGACGCCCTGTGCTTCGCGCAGGTGTCCGCAAGCCTTGCGCGCCCAGGGGAACTCCCCCCGGGCTCACAAGGCTTGCGGATAGCAGCCTGTTCTGGGGGCTGGGGTCGGGGGAAACTCGGGCTTCCCCCGCCCCAGCCCCGAGGCTGGGGGAGGGGGAATAATTTTTTTTTATTCATTCCCCCCTCCCCAAAATGAGGTGCGTCCTATTGCCCAGTGTGCCCTATAGGGCGAAAAATACGGCATATAAAAACACAACAAACCTTTTAAAAACAAAATATCCTGTACAAGCAACAAACAAACCAACAAATCAATAGAAACCAATAACAACAATACTGATAATAATAATAACAACAATAATCAACAGTTTACAGTTATACCCAAATTAAAATAACTGCTAAACACAGCTAAACATTTAACCAACACCAACCCAACAAAAACGAAGCAGAGGAACCAAAATTTGAACCATTTAAAACCTTTTAAAACCTTTTAGTCAGTTGCCCCAACCCAAGAATTGTTCCAGCGATGTTCCTCCAGCCTCCCAGGAGCCTCTTTTAGTTGTTCAGGGTAACAGCTCCTGCAATTTGTGCAACACCTGATGGCAGCCAGCCGGTTAGTCAAGGAGGCTCAAGGCAGGCCACATGGCAAACACAGCTCTGTCCCTCCTAGAAATTGGGGAGAAATTGGATTCAGTTTGCATTTAAAGGCAAATCTGCCTAATTTCCAAAATAATGCATTAACAGAAACCCAGCCATCCTCCAAAATTCTCCAGTCAAGCAATGTCTATAGAAATGCATACATTAAGTTGTTCTTTAAAAAAAATCAAGTATTAGTGAAAATAACATACAACAACACATTTTTAGAGGAAATTGCATATAAAGATGTGTATATTAATCAAAATTCACACTAAAATGCTGGGGAATTCACATATAATAATAATAATTTATTATTTGTACCCAGCCACTCTGGGCGGCTTCCAACAAAGATGAAAAATACATTAAAATGTCACCCATTAAAAACTTCCCTTCAGATGTCTTCTAAATGTTAGGTAGTTGTTTATTTCTTTGACATCTGATGGGAGGGCGTTCCACAGGGCGGGCGCCACTACCGAGAAGGCTCTCTGTCTGGTTCCCTGTAGCTTTGTTTCTTGCAATGAGGGAACCGCCAGAAGGCCCTCAGCGCTGGACCTCAGCATCCGGGCAGAACGACGAGGGTGGAGACGCTCCTTCAGGTATACTGGGCCAAGACCATTTAGGGCTTTAAAGTTCAACACCAACACTTTGAATTGTGCTCGGAAACGTACTGGGAACCAATGCAGGTCTTTCAAGACCGGTGTTATATGGTTTTGGTGGCCATTCCCAGTCACCAGTCTAGCTGCTGCATTCTGGATTAGTTGTAGTTTCCGGGTCACCTTCAAAGGTAGCCCCACGTAGAGTCCATTGCAGTAGTCCAAGCGGGGGATAACTAGAGCATGCACCACTCTGGTGAGACAGTCCGCGGGCAGGTAGGGTCTCAGCCTGCATACTAGGTGGAGCTGGTAGACAGCTGCCCTGGATACAGAATTGACCTGCGCCTCCATGGACAGCTGTGAGTCCAAAATGACTCCCAGGCTGCGCACCTGGTCCTTCAGGGGCACAGTTAACCCATTGAGGACCAGGGAGTCCTCCACAATCAAATAGTGCAAATTGAGGTTGTGCATTGCCCTGTCATTTTCCTTAACGCAGTGCCCAATCTTTTGGGGAAGTGGGCTCATTGTGCAAGTGTGCCAAATCAAGTATGAATCTGCCAATACGTGGTTGAATACCATAGTTTTCAAAACAGCCATTTTTAAAACTGCATTTCCTCCTGCACTTCTTTAGCATCCGCGCTCCATCTGCAGTGAGAGCTGCCTCCCTGGATTTAGAAAAGTGGCTGAAAGGGGAAGGCCCAGCTGCTGCTTCAAATGTGTCCGGTGCCTGCCTGGCCAGATCTCCAACCAAATTGGTAAGAATGTGGCCAAGGCATTGCTTGACTATACAAACAAACGTAGTTTATGTTTGTGTTCTCTGTGTGCTCTGCTTTTTGTTTTGAAATTCACATTTTTCATCTTGGATCCAATGAGGGTAATGAGGGGCCTGTTTATCCAACAAAATGTGTGGGGGAAAAACAACAGAGAAAAAAGGACAAAAGAGATTCTGAGACAGATCATGGATAATGAACAAAAACTGATTAAAAAACCGAACAATGAAAGGATAATGCAGGAAATAAAGTCCCTTCAAACGCAATTCTCAATGTTAATAAACAAAGAGGTTGAGTGGAACATCAAAAGGTTAAGACAGAAAAACTTTGAATATGCCAACAAGTCAGGAAAATGGCTTGCTTGGCAAGTTAAAAAGAGGAAGGAGCAAAATACAATCAGTAAAATACAAATAAATGGAGAAGTAACAACCGACCCGAAAGAAATTAGAAAAAGATTCTTGGATTTTTATGCGCAACTGTATAGGAATAAAGAAAGGAACAACAAGAAAAAAATAGATATCTAAAAGAAAAGATGGTGAAGAAGATGTCATTAGACCAAAAAGAACAGCTAAATGCCCCAATATATAGAGAAGAGGTAGAGGAAGTGATAAAAGATCTGAAAAGAGGGAAGGCACCGGGCCCAGATGGGTTTACATCGAGCTACTATAAAGAAATGAAAGATACGTTGATGATTCCGCTAATTGAAGTAATGAATAACATCTTAAAAGAAAGAGACATACCTGGTTCATGGAAAGAGGCATTCATTACAATTATTCCAAAACAAGATTCGGACTTGACCCAAGTTAAGAACTATAGACCCATCTCCCTATTAAACACGGACTATAAGATCTTTGCCGGAATTCTTGCCAAAAGACTTAAAAAGATATTATCAAAGATGATACACGAAGACCAAGCGGGTTTTCTTCCGGGCAGGCAAATAAGAAATAACATAAGAAACATAGTTAATCTCATTGAATATTTATCAGATAGAAGTGATAAGCCAGCCAGCCTAATCTTCGTAGACGCGGAGAAAGCCTTCGATAATGTAGTATGGGATTTTATGTTTGGTAATTTGGAAGCTATGGAGGTGGGACAAGAGTTCTTAAATGGTATAAAGGCAATTTATACGGAGCAGAAGGCGAGACTGATAGTCAATAACGTCATCTCTGAGGAAATTAAAATATCTAAAGGAACGAGGCAGGGCTGTCCGCTCTCGCCGCTACTCTTTATAATGGTCTTGGAAGTGTTACTGAATGCAATAAGGCAAAATAAACAAATTAAAGGGGTAACACTAGGTTCAAATGAGTATAAAATTAGAGCGTACGCAGATGATGTGGTCCTAACGGTAGAAGAACCTATAGAAAGCATAAGGGAGATTCTAGACGAGATGGAGAAATTTGGGAAGTTAGCGGGATTCAAATTGAATAAGAGTAAGACAAAAATGATTGTTAAAAATATGGATCAAGATAAGATTGAATTAGTGCAGCAACGAACAGAAATTGAAGTTGTTAAAAAGGTAAAATATTTGGGTATCTGGCTTACCAACAAAAACATCGACTTATACCAAAATAATTACATCCCGGTGTGGAATAGAATTAAAAAGGATTTGGAGGTATGGGCCAGGATGAAGCTGTCATTCTGGGGAAGAATATCTATGGTCAAAATGATGGTGCTTCCTAAGTTGCTATTTCTGTTTCAAACGCTACCCATATTAAAAGGAACAAAAAACTTTATAGAATGGCAAAAGGCAGTCTCTAGATATGTCTGGGAAGGGAAGAAGCCCAGAATCAAATTTAAGTTGTTAACAGATGTAACAGAAAGAGGGGGCTTTGCCTTACCAGACATGAGATTATACTACGAAGCAGCATGTCTGTGCTGGATAAAAGAATGGGTAAAGCTGGAGAATAAAGAGTTATTGGACCTGGAAGGGTTCAATAACAAATTTGGGTGGCATGCGTACCTATGGAGGGATAAAAAGAGAGTGCATAAAGGATTCTGCAGTCACATCTTTAAGGGCCCACTAATAGAGGTCTGGGACAGATATAAAAATATATTAGAGCCAAAAACTCCACACTGGTTGTCTCCGCTGGAGATAATAAGTGTAAAGAAAGTTAATATGAGAGAAAAGTGGGGGAAGTACGGAGAAATGGTTATCAATGAAGGAGGGAAGTGGAAAGTAAAACCATACGATCAGGTTAAAATATTTACATATGATTGGTTGCACTACTTCCAGATAAATGAGATGTTTAAAAAAGAGGTGAAGGAAAGGGGTTACCAGGAAAAAGAATCGATATTTCAAAAAGAGATAATAAACAACGAATATAAAAACCTCTCAAAAATGTATAAGATACTGCTGGAGTGGAACTTGAAAGATGAGGAAGTGAAGTCAGTGATGGTACAATGGGCAAGGGATTTCGGTTATAATGTGCAACTGGAGGACTGGGAAAAGTTATGGAAAGTGAATATAAAATTTACGGCTTGTATGTTACTTAAAGAAAATGTGATGAAGATGCTATACAGGTGGTATCTGACACCTGTAAAATTGGCTAAGATGTATAAGGTAGACAACAAGTGCTGGAAATGTAAATTAAAGGAAGGGACTTTTTATCATCAATGGTGGGAGTGTAAGAAAGTTAAGAGCTTCTGGGACGAAATTTACAATGAAATGAAAAAGATGTTAAGTTATACCTTTGTAAAAAAAGCCAGAAGCCTTTTTATTAGGTATTGTTGGAAAGGACATCAGGAGAAAAGATTGTAAACTCTTCCAGTATGCGGTAACGGCCGCCAGAATCGTGGTAGCCCAAAGGTGGAAGCAGGAAGAAATCCCAACGGTTGCTGAGTGGAGAGCAAAATTGTTAGAATATGCCGAGCTGGACAAATTAACAGGGAAAATAAGATACGCTAAGGATCAAAAATTCATTGAAGATTGGGGGAAATTTGTGGGTTATCTGGAGAACAAATGTTTTGTAAATACAACGCTAGTGGGATTTAAAGAGGCACTGTAAAGAACTAACAAGTATTGTTTAATAGAAATAGTATACAAAGGGAGGAACGAATGGCAATATGAAAAGATGGAATGTGATTTAAAGATATAAATACGAATGAATGTCAATGACGCTGAAGGAAGTTCAAAATGTATAAGAAGTGTTGAAATATGGACAAAATGTATAAATAATGAAATTAATAAAATTGCAAAATGGAAAAAAAAATAAATCACATTTTTCATCTTGGATCCAACTCAGGGTAAAATAATGTATGCATGTTCCCAGCATAAACCACTGATGGGCTGGAATCTGGTAAGTCACTTAGAGGTAGCATCAAGGAAGACTATGGAAATGGCATTCCATTCACCGGCCAAATGGGAAATGGTTGTTAAATTATTATCAATAACATTTCAATATGTGATACTATTATACGTATTGTTGTCGTGGTTGTTAAACTATACAGTGGTACCTCAGGTTAAAAACTTAATTCGTTCTGGAGGTCCGTTCTTAAACTGAAACTTAACCTGAGGTACAACTTTAGCTAATGGGGCCTCCTGCTGCCAACACGCCACCGCCACGCGATTTCTGTTCTCATCCTGAAGCAAAGTTCTTAGCGGAGTCTGTAACCTGAAGCATCTGTAACCCGAGGTACCACTGTACTGCACTCTCAATAAAACATAACTTACAAATATTTTTACCTGTATGATTGCAGCAGCAAAAAGTTTGGTTGTCCCAAAGTGGAGAGTTTTAATATGACTATGTCTTAAATATTAGCTTAACAAGCTCTGGAAAATTGTTACTGTCAGAGACTGCCTCCAGGTCCCAGCTCACAGAGGACCAACGCTAGCCAGCGGTAATATACAAAGTCTTTATTTAAGTACATTATCCATTTTCAAACCCTAGCGTGCGTCTCTACGTCTAGACACTAGACCGGCGAAGCTCCGTCTGAATCTCCGCCCCCTGTACACCAGCTTAAGACTCTAGCCTTACTCCACCTCTTCCGTCTCTCCTTCCGCCTCTGGGTCCTACTACCCCCCGGGATCCCTTCCTTCCTGGACGCTTCGGACGCGGACCCCTCTGACTCTTCCCCCTCCCTTCGGCGGGCTTTAGGACCTGGCTCCCTATCCGGGCTGCTCACTGCGCCACTCTCTTGTAGGTTTGAACTTGGCGCGCGCGCCCTGTCTTTGACCTTCCTTTCGACCGTTTCTTCGCTCTCTGATGCAGGCGTGGCCAATCCTGACTCATGTCCTTCTGCTGACGGAGAGCTGCCTGATGCCGATACCTGGGACTCCTCCCCCCTACTGCTCTTTGGTGGGGAAGCTGGTCCCGATTTCCAACTGCTGCTCTCTGAGTCCCCTCTGGCCCCTCCTTCCTGGGGTGTTCCCCTTGGCAACCCCCTTGCTCTGACCACGGGAGCCCCTTTCTGTGAATCCTCCGATTCGCTGGAGAGACTCAGAGACCTCGGACGGCTGTCATCGCTGACATCTCCCTCGGATTCCTCCCCCTCGGTCTCTATCTCCTCCCTTTCCTGTGCCTCTGCTCCTGAGCCCCTGACAGTTACTTATACCTAAATTAACATTTTTTAGGAGCAAGAAATTCAGGAGTTAAAAACAGTATATTTATAGAAATATGGTCAGTATTTACACAGTTTTGTCAAAGGGTATTTTGCCTTCCCAAAGCTCTGAATGCTTTTGGTTTTTTCTTTGGAGCAATATGATTGCCTTCACCTTGTTTGAATTGAATTTTCCTATCCAGCTCTATGTTGTTGGCCAGAGATAGGATGGGGCATGACGATATGTGGATTTGTAATTGCATGGGTGAAGAGAGTTGTGCTAGATCAGACTGTACTCACAGTTCACCAAATGCCCTGTGGTGACCACAAAGTGCATAATATTTTTCCCTTGGAAACCAACCAAAACTCAGATCAAGGCTTTTCTGTTGCACCTAGCTTAGGAAAGGTAGGGTAGATATATCAGTTGAGCTTTATATTTGTATTCCCCTAAAGTTATAAATGCTATTACCAGCACTGGGCTTCTGGGGAGACCAGGCTATAGCACAACTCATCTGATCAATGAGATGGATGCATGGGTCTATGTGGTCAGTAGTGAGATCCAATTTGTGTTTTCCAGATATGGACCGCTGTGAGACATGCAAAGAGGACTACTATCCAAATGAAGCCAGAAACAAGTGTGTTCCCAAAAACCTAAGTTTCCTGTCCTATGACGAGCCCCTGGGGATTGCTTTAGCTTCCTCTGCTCTTTCTTTCTCCCTCTTGGCTATATTTTTGCTCGGAACCTTTATTAAACACCGAGACTCTCCCATAGTCAAAGCCAACAACCGAGATCTCAGCTACATCCTCCTCTCCTCCCTAATGCTCTGCTTCCTCTGCTCCTTGCTCTTCATTGGCCGGCCAAGGATGGAGACTTGCCTTCTCCGGCAGACAGCCTTTGGCCTCATTTTCTCAGTCTCTCTTGCTACGGTCTTGGCCAAAACCATCACTGTGGTTCTGGCCTTCAATGCCACAAAGCCGGGGAACAGAATGCGGAAATGGCTGAGACCCAGAGCTGCCCATGGCTTTGTGCTGCTCTGTTCTCTCATCCAGGCTGGGATCTGCGTGGTCTGGCTGGGAACCTCTCCCCCATTCCCAGATTTTGATACCCGCTCGGAGCCTGGGTACATTATCCTTGAGTGCAACGAGGGCTCCGTCACTGCCTTCTACTGCATCCTAGCTTACATGGGTCTCTTGGCTTTGGTGAGCTTCACGGTGGCCTTCCTGGCCAGGAAGCTGCCTGACAGCTTCAATGAAGCCAAGTTCATCACCTTCAGTATGCTGGTTTTCTGCAGCGTCTGGGCGTCCTTCATCCCAAGCTACCTGAGCACCAAAGGGAAATATATGGTGGCTGTGGAGATCTTCTCTATTTTGGCCTCCAGCGCTGGGTTACTAGGCTGCATCTTCTTCCCCAAGTGTTATATTATTCTGCTGCGGCCAGATCAGAACAGCCGGGAGCATTTCACTCGAAAATTAAACTCTGGAGTCCAACAGCTTTAAATTTGGAGACTGAAATACTGCATGTTGTGTGGTTGATCGCCAGAATTCGGATATCTGAAGATTCGGAAAGCCAGTCTCTCTTCCTTTTTTATCTCATTAGCAAGTGTGTTTTCACTTGGTGACATTTTCCTTGGCAACTGGCATGGCCTTCTGCTCCAGCCAGATAAGACCAAAAAGAGCACATTGTCTGCAAATATTTCCACAGATAATATATGTGAGTGAATCTGAAACTTTCTGATTTGCTTTGAACTTTCAAGAGGCTGATCCTTCACAGGATCCTTAGTGTGATAAACTTGCTCACAAGTTCAGCTTCAAAGCAGGATAGAGAAAAGTTCAACCCTCACCCCAGGCACAAACTGTGTGTGGTGGCTGCCAAAAGCTTCTCCCTTATTAACAGTAGTGGGGGTGGTGTTGTGTGATGTCGTTCTGCCCACTACAATCCCACTTCAGTGAGTGCTTCATGTGGAGAGCTGTGAAGCCTGCCCCAATGTTTTCTTGCATTATACATAATGGGGTGAAGCACACATTGGGTTATATCCAACTAACGCATCCTATCAGTGCCAAGATTTTCACTTGCACAACAGAACTTTCCCACCTCTCCTTCCCCTGCACCAGAGGATTGGGGGAACCCCAGTCCAGATTTAGTTGGGGGGGGGGTTGGGGAAAGTTCTATTGTGGAAGTGTAAATCCTTGCTCTGGTGGGACATGTTAGTTGGATACCACCCAACATGTCTGAGCTTCAGACACAAACTCATTATGTAGTCATGACCAAGTCACTATCCTGACCTCTAATGGAGGAAGGGAGGAAGTTGCCTTACAGCCGTGTTTAGGGAAGCTTTTAATGTTTGATAGGTTGTTGTATTTTAGTGTTTTGTTGGAAGCCGCCCAGAGTGGCTGGGGGGACCCAGCCGGATGGGCGGGGTATAAATAATTTATTATTATTATTATTATTATTATTATTATTATTATTATTATACTGAATCAAACCATTGGTCTATCTTTTTCATCATTGTCTACAATGATTGGTAGGGGCTTTCCACAGTTTCAGACAGTTGGGCAGGTTCCCTGAAGATGCAAGCATCCTACCTGAGACCGACTACTAGTATTCCCACTTTGCATTTGGGGTGACCACAATTCGTAGTGGCAAAGCACATGCTTTACATGTAAAAGGACCAAGGTTCCATCCTCCGACTTTTGTTCAGATTAATGTCTGGTCCCCTTATTTCTTACCATACCTGCATGGCTAAGCCATGTGTGGAATTGTGAGACCAATAAGTGCCTGGACACCTGTGCTCTGCTCTATCTTCGGAAGTCAATCAAAGGAGTCCAGGTGCCAAGGCAATTTTATTTTGGGGGGGGGGGAGAATGTGTGTTTTGTTAATCAATAAACTTGTTTGCCATCACAAGCCTTGCAGCACTGTTGGGATTAGGCTTGGGTTGGTGACTGACACAGGAAGAGGAGGAGGGAAAATAAATTCACAGAGGGGTAAATGGACGGACCTGGGTAGGAGCAGGGGGATTCCCTCTTTCCAAATTAACTTCAGTCATTTTAGAAAAGGGAGCATGGATGCTGGCTCTCCCTCCACCAATCTTCCTGCAGAGTAGAGTGCTTCAATGGAGGCTGGGGAGAGCTTTGATCAGCCGAGCCAGGAGGCTGGACAGGAGACAGAAGTGACTCAACATGAGCCTAAACAGTATCGTTGCTAGGTCGAATTGCTGTGATTAAAATGAATGTATTGCCAAGAATATTATTTTTGTTTCAAACATTGCAAATTTTGGATAAAATGGACTGTTTCAAGAAGTGGCAGAGAGATATCTCTAGATTTGTCTGGCAGGGCAAGAAGCCTCATATAAAATTTAAAATATCAACAGATGCTAAAGAAAGAGGTGGATTTGCCCTGCCAGACCTTAAACTTTATTATGAATCAGCCGCATTTTGTTGGCTGAGAGAATGCATGCTTCTTGAAAACACGGACGTGTTGGATTTGGAAGGTTTTAACAATGTATTTGGTTGGCATGCATATCTGTGGTATGACAAGGTTAAAGCACATAAAGCGTTCAAAAACCATATTGTTAGAAAAGCACTGTTTAATGTTTGGGTAAGATATAAGGATTTGCTAGAAAGTAAAACCCCAAGATGGTTGTCACCAATGGAAGCAAAGGCTCAGAAAAAACTCAATATGGAGGCCAAATGGCCGAAGTATTGTGAAATTTTGGAACAAGAGGGAGACAGACTAAAATTGCAGAGTTTTGAAAAACTAAAAAATAAAGTGCGAGACTGGCTCCATTATTATCAAATACTGGAGGTATATAATGTGGATAAAAAAATAGGCTTCCAAGTGGAAAAATCAAAATTGGAAACAGAATTGTTAGACTCTAAAGTTAAGAATTTGTCAAGAATGTATAACTTGCTGTTGAAATGGAATACTCAAGATGAAACGGTGAAATCTGCTGTGATTAAATGTGCACAAGATGTTGGATATAACATTATGATGGCTGACTGGGAACAGTTATGGACCACAGGTATGAAGTTTACGGCATGTAATGCCTTAAAAGAGAATTTAATGAAAATGATCTATAGGTGGTACATAACACCAGTCAAGCTTGCAAAAATCTATCATTTGCCTGATAATAAATGTTGGAAATGTAAGGAGACTGAAGGTACTTTCTTTCACCTTTGGTGGACATGCCCAAAGATTAAGGCATTCTGGGAAATGATCTATAATGAAATGAAAAAGGTATTTAAATATACCTTCTTGAAGAAACCAGAGGCCTTTCTCCTGGGCATGGTCGGCCAATTGGTGCCAAAGAAGGATAGAACTTTTTTCATGTATGCTACGACAGCAGCAAGAATACTTATTGCAAAGTACTGGAAGACACAAGACCTACCCACCCGGGAAGAATGGCAGATGAAGCTGATGGACTACATGGAGTTGGCGGAAATGACTGGCAGAATCCGAGACCAGGGAGAAGAGTCGGTGGAAGAAGACTGGAAAAAATTTAAAGTATATTTACAGAAATATTGTAAAATTAATGAATGTTAGAAGGATGCTGGAAAGAAGTTATATGGCTTTAGTAGAAATGTTATTAAGAATTAAGTAAGAATAGATTGATAATGGGTAAAGGTGTAAAATTCAAGGCTAAATTGTGTTAAGACAAATTATGGAACTAAATTTGAGAAAGAGGGAAAGGACTTGCTGAAACAACTAATTGAACTAGAATACAAAAAAGGGAGGTATGAGGAAGTCAAGGAAATAAGCAAATGAAAGATTAGGACATGAAAATACTGGTTTTCCCCCCCTCTTTTCTTTTTTAAATGTTTTTGCTTTTTAAATGTTTTTGTTTTTTTTTTGTTTTTTAATGTTTTTGATGTACTGTTGTTGCTTTTTCTTACTGTATTTTTTCTTTTTTTATTTATTTTTGAAGTTTTGTAACCTTTTATTGTTTGTTTTTCTTTTTTCTGTATTTGTTAAACTCTAATAAATATCTTTTAAAAAAAACCAAACACAACATGAGCCTAAACAGGAGAGTGCAGTGTTGCTGCCTAGGGTCAGACTCTGCCTTCTTAGATAGGAGCAGATCCAAGTGCCCCAACACACCATGCACTTTCAGTTTTGATATTGAAATCTTGGCGGGAGGGACAGGAAACCTGTTGGGACATCTTTGGCCCTTCCATCCAGCTCTTGCCCTCCTCCCGAACTTCTGAATTGTGACTCCTGAGCCATGAATCTGCTGCTGAGCTTGAACTGTTAGGGCTCACGTACACTTCTGATTGTCCCATGCCTAGAAAACATGGGCCCGAGTGGTTTTTCACCTGTCCCTTGTGTTCTAGGCAAGAGTCGGAGCAGTTTTGCCTTTGTCCCGCAGCTTTACTCTGGAAAATCTGCTTTCTAGATCTGAATTGAAGCAAACATCAATCTGGAGAAAACTCAGTTGATGTTCGCTCCAGTTCCGTGGTAGACAACAGGTTTTCCCAGGGGGAAATACTGCAGCAAGCAGAGATGTGGATGAGTTCTTACTTGCTTAAATAAATGGTTGTTTCTTACCTAAAAGTAAGATCATTTGTCTGTGTGTTTTGAGGAGCTGGGACATTTGCCACTTATAAAGTATGGATGATAAAACTCCCACACAGACTTGCATCAGTGGAACTTTCAAAATTATTGGTTGTCTTCTTACTGCTGCCACCGCCTTTTAGTAAGAATATTATTTTAGGTGATGATGTGACTTTGAACCAGAGAAAATATGCATCTTCCCTGCCCCTGCCTTCTTCTTTTCGTAACATAGTTTTTATTCCTTTTCATTTTTTAACTGCTTAACATAGTTGCTTTGAGATATATCTTTGTTTATATTAGAGCATATGACAATGCAACTATTACATAAAGATAAAACAGCAATACTCAAATAAAAGTTTCTGAATATATTAACGAAATTGTGTTGAAATGTATTTACCAAAATTATTCGAATTGTTACAGATATGATGTATAGGTATGTGTATTGCTTAGATTGGTGACCGTCAGTAAAATATATTTTGCATCAATAACAATTAGAATTTATAGGAATCCATAGGAAGTGGGGAAGGAAAATAAAATATGTACTTCATGCTCACCAGGCTGGGTGTAAACTTTATTGTTCTACCATATGCCTCATTATTTGTGTAATCAATAAAGTAACACCAGACTGCATAAAAACTGTCGAGCTTCTTTTGGCCTCTTACTACTTTTAAATGTGTTGGTTTTTCCAATAATGCTGTTTGCCAAATTGCATTATACCATTGGTCGATAGTTAATTATTTTAATGATTTCCATGTCCTGGCAATAGTTGTTCTTGCAGCAGTTAATAGATGTGTTATGAGTTCTTTGTTTCTAATTTGCAACATACTGTGACTATTGTTATAGGGGGGAAATAGGGGGTTTGGCTTTTACTGCCCAACTCCCCGAGGGACTGAGTCCCCTAAGTTGGTCAGAGATGAATGGATGGAGGCAAGATCCTAACAGAAAGCAAGGCAGATATTTATTTTTCTGTTGCAACAGAGTTCTTCCCTCCTCCCTTGCAAGGAGGTAGGAGAGACCCAGAACAACTGTGTGCAAGCCCCTATAAAAACTTTTGAAATTGCCCACCCTGTACCCCACGGCCCCCAAAAAAACATGATACATACATCACAGAAGGAGGCAGTCTCCAGTAAAAAATTTGATGACAATTTGGGAGAGTCAAAATGGCTTCAGGATTGCTCTCTTGTACTACCTCAGACACGTGGTTTATATACTAATGTATGGGTTTGCCCTTAGAATTCTTTTTTTCAATTCTTTTATTAAAGTTTTGCTGATACAGAAAGTAAAAAGAAAATACGTAAACACAAAAAAATAAACTGCTATTTACACAAACAAAAATCCTTCCCACCCCCGTGA